CACTTTATTACGTGCCCCCCCCCCAATGGCACAGCGGCATGTCTGCGGAATTACAACGCTAGAAACCGGATTTCGATACCTATGGTGGGCAGAGCACAGATAGCCCATTGTGTAGCTTTGTGCTTAACTTCAAACAACAACTTTATCACGTGGCCATCCTAGTAGTATGAATACAAGTGACATAGAAATAATATCAAAGTACGGGAAAATATACATACTTTTACAAAGATACGAGTTAATGAAACAATATACTGCCACATATCATACATATTTAGTACACAGGTCGTGTCTGCTTACAGGCAAGAGGCATGCAAGTAATCTAACACATAAAATGTTTAATTCCCCAAAGTGTCGGTTTGCGTGCGAGAAAAAAAAAGACGAGGTCATCCAAAGGAAGAATTATCTTGCGCAAGAACAAAATTTAAGGTCTTGTAAATTGAACGTATCGGTTCATTCTAAATAAATGCAACAACACGTAAAACTCAGAAGAAGAAGAAAACAAAATAAGAGTTTAACCAACCTTTGTGTGCAAAAAGGCCAAACTTTTGTTGACATTTTCTATTTTATGAACTCGCATTTTTCCATGATTTGGCTTTCCGAGCTTTTCTCCGGAAATAATCTCCAAAAGTTTTAGCAGTTTCTTCCCGTCTGTCAGGTCGGTGAACAGATCTTCCACCTCCATCCTCGCCTGCAAATGTAATGAAAACAACAAAGATGGGCAGATTATCGGGCATACAAATGTACTCGAACATGTTTCAATACATAGAGAAATCCTCCTTTATACATTTCAATTAAATGTATTTCGATAACTAGTGCAAGCAGTGCAGTTGGAAGAAAACGAAAATATTCATAATGGTATCACAAAATAGGGTATAAAACTTAACTTAAGAATATTAAAACAAGTATAATATAAATGTTTTATTGGCAATTTGCAATTCCACTATAGGGTTACTTCCATCAAATTGTGATATGTGTTTTTTAACGGCTAATGAAAGTGTTTCAACCAGATTGGGTTTAACTCACCATCAGTGCATGTCACTTGATTTTAAATACAGCACGACTAATGAAAGTGTTTCAACCAGATTGGCTTTAACTCACCATCAGTGCATGTCACTTGATTTTAAATACAGCACGACTAATGAAAGTGTTTCAACCAGATTGGCTTTAACTCACCATCAGTTCATTTTACTTGATTTTAAATACAGCACGACTAATGAAAGTGTTTCAACCAGATTGGCTTTAACTCACCATCAGTGCATTTTACTTGATTTTAAATACAGTACGACTAATGAAAGTGTTTCAACCAGATTGGCTTGAACTCACCATCAGTGCATTTCACTTGATTTTAAACAACTACAATAGTAACTGATGCTTAAAGACATACTTAGACACGCTACACGCTGCTACACAATAGTGTAATAACACAGTAGTTTAAGCCAGTTTTTGCAAGAGTATTTAACGTCGGAAATATTTACAATATCCACTATACATATTTACCGCCAGTTATACTTTTATTGTACATGTGCATGAACGTTTAAGGGAGTTATAATTGATTTTATATATGAATGATATTTAACGTTGGTATAATGTTTCATTGCACATAATTAATAACATCTAAGTCAGTTACGAACTCTTACAAAATATTAAAGGACAAGATTTTAGAGTTACATTGTTCAGCCAAATGAACAACAGCTGAATTAAGAGTATATTTTTAAGAGCATAACCTATTCACCGAATATAATCAAACACTTTCCTTGACAGTGTACTGGTTGTTGTAATGTTTTGCAACATAAGTACCATCAAATTTAAAGTGGTCAAAATTAGGGTATTACTCAATCAACTCGTCTGAAAAAAAATATCTTTTGGCCAAAAAAAAAAAAAAGATACTCGCTAGCTTTTCTTTTCTCTAACTTTGATACAAACTCTGTACCTGTAGAGTAGAGTATACTTGAATTCAATCGGCGGACGACGTTAAGGGAACTCTATCACGATCCTCAGACAGTAAAGCCTGAGTTGACTGCCTTCCGGGTTAAGGCGTTGACGTTCACAACTTCAATGGGACTCTGGAGCGTTCTATCAGACTCATATCAGGATCTATTGCTGTACAATCCATAGCCTCTATCGTTCTTATTCAGGGTAGTACAAAATCATCTCGTTAGTATATAATACTACACATTATCTTGTACACTGAGGTAAGTTCATACAATTGAAAATAAAACAACGTCAACATATTGCCAAGCAGTAGATTATCCCACTTGAATCACAGTAAGAACTGTATGTCCACTCATAGTAATGTATCTCCAAAACGATCACATTCTAAAATGTTGCACTGACTATATTATCCATATCTGGCTTTCCAGACTCGAACACGTCAGTCATTAACAGAAACATGAATCTGTCTTATCTGTAAATAAGACAGGCGCTCAATGGCGCTGTTGCTAAGAGAGTCTCCACAGAAGTCCTTGTGGTGCTTTTCACTGAAATGTAGGGCAGAAGCAAGTTAGTCTCGACCTTAAGCCAGATCATGAGGGACCACTAGGTACTACTGTCTTGAAGTCCATATTAAATCCATGGTTAGCAGGTTAGTCTCGACCTTAAGCCAGATCATGAGGGACCACTAGGTACTACTGTCTTGAAGGACTAAAGGTTCAAAATGATCATGACATGCAGATAGAGGTCACTATATAGGGTAGTTAACTCTCCTAAAGTTCATCTAGATTGTCTAGTGTATGGGCTAGATATCTAATAGTGTATCCATGACCTTAGTGTACTGGATAGCTGTCTAACAGTGTATCATTGACTTTAGTGTACGGGCCAGATGTCTAATAGTGTATTCATGACCTTTTTGCTATGGGCGAGATGTCTAATAGTGTATCCATGATCTTGCTACTACGGGCTAGATGTCTAATAGTGTATCCATGACCTTATTGCTATGGGCCAAGATAAAATGAGAGGCCACTTGTCTCGGTGGTTGTTTGGTTTAGAATACTTGAACAGCTCTGACAAGATGTATTTCCGTCAAACACCGACAGGTAATATTGTTGATTATACGGGAATAGTAGCTCAAACAGAAGCTATTATCGAAAAGTCAGATGATTAAAAGAAAGACGAAATGATGGTGCAGTCTTTTCAGCGCAGGTAGAACGTATAAAAGGCGCCGAAACAATAAGGTATTCTTACCATATCATCATTAAAACGTAAAAATAATGAATGATATATGAATTCTGAAATTGGAGCCAAGTTCAATTTTCCATTTAATGTTTCCCCGTAAGGTTTCAATATGAATGTAATTTGAACGTCCGATCTGTTTTTTGTTTTTTTTACACACGGATAAACATTTAGTGTCTGTTACATGCATGTACATGAATATACATAAAATTAATTGATTGATAACTCATTTTAAATATGTTATACTTTTCTTTTTGTATAAGTATGATATAAAATAGTATTATATGGTCTGTTGGTTCAGTTTCCTGCCCAAGCAACTGATTTGTTGTGCATTTCCCACAATATAACGTAAGATTCTACACAAGCTACAGAGACATGTGGATACTTTTTTGTATGGAAAGCCTTTACGAAACGTGAAATCGTGCATAAAGTGAACCTTCCACATACCATGACACCTCACACAAAACAAAGAGCCAGACATTTTCTGCGTGTTTGGACTCAACCCTGCACATGAGTGAACGTAATATGCCCAAAAAGCCTACAGTATGCATGTTTTGAAGTCACAGGTTGCACACTGGGGCTTCATGTTGTTGTAAGGCTGCTTAACAATGGAGTTTACAGATGTTACAATGTCATTGAATGTGCTTCTGTCATTCCTACATGTACGTAACAACTGTACCTGTGTTTTTCTGAAAATCGACCATATAGAAAAACAAAAACGTTACAACTTGCAACTTATACCGGGTTTAATATAATTTAAAATGCCTTCCTAGGGGGCTGCAATAGAAGATGATTTTTTTTCTGTTAACTGACGTTATTTTGTTCGCGACAGATCACGTATTTGAGTTTAAAATAAACATAGAAGCATACTTCTTCTTGCCAAAAAAAAAATATAAAAAAAATCCTGTAATGTAGACATTATGTAAAGCATGTACTCGTTATGAGTATTTTTGGAGTATAAAACAAGATGCACAAAAAGCTATTTTCATCCATTTCAACATTCACATTTTATTTAACAGATGGACCTATAAATGATCATGGCCAGAAAGAAGCAGATATATATTTTACTTATTATCGATTATTGAAATCACACTCGGTTAAAAAGGTATACAGCGGAAATATTATAGTATGTAGTATAAGGGTTCAGCAATATTATGCCATCTTCCACGTCAGAACTATTCGAACCGCAGTTACTGATTGTCAGTGGAAGAGCTACAATATTAAAATGAGAAGGACGTTTCAAACCTCATGTTTCATCCATCATACTAATAAAAAAAGGCTAAAGTAACAAATCTGCAGTAGTTATACGTCAGTTCCATATTCGAAACTACTGGAAAGTTTGACATCGAATTACTTAAGAATGTCCCCTGATAAATCAGCGGTAAGTTTATAGACTTACAACGCTAAAATTCGGGGTTTAATTTCTCGTAGTGGATAGAGTGGAGACAGCTTGATGTTTCGCTCTGTATTAAAATTAACCTAAGTACTTCAGAAAGCAAAAGATATATGCATCTCAAGTTGTTTACTTTTCATAAGAGTCAAGTACTTTAAACTATTTTGCAAATGTAATATATATAAGCTAAAGATATATAGTAGTAAACAAGCGCCTCCAATGGCAATTACTTTTTCCCTCATCTGTTATTACCAGTTTTAGCTTACATTATTATTGAACAATCAACTTTGTAGGAGAATAGGCCAGATTATTTTTTTTTGCCAAATAAAAAGTTGCACAAACCCTAAATTATCATCAGGATTATGCAGTAAGTTATGAAACAAAACAATTTGAGACAAAATGATAGCAATCCTAGGTGGACAAAGGCCTGAAGTAATACTTTCTGTCCTTCCAGTATACAAAGTAAAACAATACCAACAGTTCCCATATATTTTCACCCCAGAATCGGCAAAATCTTTGTAAAAAACTTAAAGCCAATCGGAGCATATAAGCATATAGTCCATATAGATATGAAGAACACAAAATGTTGATTATTTTATGGAAGCCAGCAGTTGGGAACCACTTTAGTTACACTATGAACTCATGTTTCCAATGTTTCTAATCCTGTTAGTGTGAGAACCCACAATCACAAGAATTACCAGCTCACCACTTGAAAAATGTGTTCATGGGGAATGCTTAACTATAAATCAGCAACTTAACATTTCTGTTCCTGAAGATGAAAAGGAAGACCTGATGATAGGAAAAGCAGCTTCTAATGTTCTTGAACCAGGCTCTTCAGTTAAACTTAAGATTGTGTTCTGTTCATTTGTTATTGAAGAAGGCAATATGGATTTCCAAGTTGTTACACAAAATAATTCTGAACCACTGGTTACTCTTTATGCAAAAGGCATTGGACTGGAAATTCTTTTTAAAAGCCCAGCCTTCTATAGTGGATTTCAAAATATGTATGCAAGACCACACTTATGAAATCAATGTAATTTTATTCAGTAGTGACAAGATAAAGAGACGTGTTAAGTGAAAAGTACCAGCTGTACTGCAAAATCACTTACAAGTTCAACCAGAGCACA